CAAATAGGCAGCAGAGAGTTTGCATAAATGGGGAGAAATCAGAGTGGGGAAGCGTCACGAGCGGTGTTCCACAGGGTCAGTGTTGGGCCCCCTGCATGTTCACAATCTACATAAACGACATAGATGAGGGCATAAAGAGCGACATCGGCAAGTTTGCCGATGACACCAAAATAGGCCGTCGAATTCATTCTGACGAGGACATTCGAGCACTCCAGGAAGATTTGAATAGACTGATGCAGTGGTCGGAGAAGTGCAGATGCAGTTTAATATAGACAAATGCAAAGTTCTAAATGTTGGACAGGACAATAACCATGCCACATATAAACTAAATAATGTAGATCTTAATATTACGGATTGCGAAAAAGGTTTAGGAGTTCTGGTTAGCAGTAATCTGAAACCAAGACAACAGTGCATAAGTGTTCGCAATAAAGCTAATAGAATCCTTGGCTTCATATCAAGAAGCATAAATAATAGGAGTCCTCAGGTTGTTCTTCAACTCTATACATCCTTGGTTAGGCCTTATTTAGATTATGCTGCACAGTTTTGGTCACCGTATTACAGAATGGATATAAATTCTCTGAAAATGTACAAAGGAGGATGACAAAGATGATCCCATGTATCAGAAACCTTCCCTATGAGGATAGACTAAGGGCCCTGAAACTGCACTCTCTAGAAAGACGTAGAATTAGGGGGGATATGATTGAGGTGTATAAGTGGAAGACAGGAATAAATAAAGGGGATGTAAATAGTGTGCTGAAAATATCTAGCCTAGACAGGACTCGCAGCAATGGTTTTAAGTTGGAAAAATTCAGATTCAGGAAGGATATAGGAAAGTACTGGTTTGGTAATAGAGTTGTGGATGAGTGGAACAAACTCCCAAGTACCGTTATAGAGGCCAGAACGTTGTGTGGCTTTAAAAATAGGTTGGATAAATACATGAGTAAATGTGGGTGGGTGTGAGTTAGACCTAATAGCTTGTGCTAACAGGTCGGTTGCCGTGTTCCTCCCTTAAGTCAATGTGACCTGACCTGTCTAGGTTGGGTGCATTGGCTTAAGCCGGTAGGAGACTTGGACCTGCCTCGCATGGGCCAGTAGGCCTTCTGCAGTGTTCCTTCGTTCTTATGTTCTTATGTTCTTAAATAACGTACAAGTGCACGTTGCACAAGCACACTGCAGAGCACCACACTTGTTTCTTGTGTTTTGCACGCCAGATTTCTGGTTAAGAATCGTGTACCTGGGACGTTAAAGCTACGAATCACCTTTGCAGTAACATCAAAATTACTTTAATACCTAAAATAGAAATTAAGGCAGAGTTTCTGTACATACACCGAGGGATATATTTGTTTGTATATGCGCTAAAAAAAATCAGTTTTCGGTGTAAATACAGTAAGATATACACATTTCTCGGTGTGTATATATCTTTGTCTTTTAAAAATATATGTTTGACGTCAGCTGTTTCGTTAACAAGGACATGCTAAGTATGGGCCAGTGGGCCTGCTGCAGTGTTCTCCCTTTGTTATAGGTGTCAGCTGCACGACACACATTCTCCACCTGTATCCAGGTGAGTTATCGTATGTGGCTGTACGTTACCACACACTGTCAGCTCATGGTGGGGCGATAATAGTACGCCTGATTATTGTAGGTGTACGCTGTTTCTGCTTCAATATACTTCATTTGGGTCCTTGACATCATCTCTAGAAAGACGTAGAATTAGGGGGGATATGATTGAGGTGTATAAATGGAAGACGGGAATAAATAAAGGGGATGTAAATAGTGTGCTGAAACTATCTAGCCTAGACAGGACTCGCAGCAATGGTTTTAAGTTGGAAAAATTCAGATTCAGGAAGGATATAGGAAGTACTGGTTTGGTAATAGAGTTGTGGATGAGTGGAACAAACTCCCGAGTACAGTTATAGAGGCCAGAACGTTGTGTAGCTTTAAAAATAGGTTGGATAAATACATGAGTGGATGTGGGTGGGTGTGAGTTGGACCTGATAGCTTGTGCTACCAGGTCGGTTGCCGTGTTCCTCCCTTAAGTCAATGTGACCTGACCTGACTAGGTTGGGTGCATTGGCTTAAGCCGGTAGGAGACTTGGACCTGCCTCGCATGGGCCAGTAGGCCTTCTGCAGTGTTCCTTCGTTCTTATGTTCTTATGAGTGGCGCTTCTATATGTTCCTGATCTGTATAGCCCTTGTGGGGTTAGCGCTTCTTTTTGATTATAATAATAATATATCTTCCTGAAATGGTTTTAAAACACTGTCATAATGTACGGGAAAGCTTGTGCTTAACTTGTATAAATATATTTCGGCTAGTTTTTATTTTTTTTACGTTGGTATAGCGGACGTTGAGGTGTGGGAAGATCTTTTTCTACCTGTCTTTATTTCAGCTCGTATCCGCCTTTGTCTGCCTCTACTTCTGCTTCTCTTTCCTGCTTGCTGAAACGTTGTGCGAGTGATTTAGAAACATATATAAACCTTTATTTTTTTTTCATTGTTAGTGTTTTTATTACCGATGCTACTATTGCTGTCATCGTCGCTACTCCATCTAATGATATATATCAGGAAGTAACATTAAAGTGTAATATAAATGGTATGTATAAAATGGAAGAACTGGAGTTGTAACTTGAGAAACCTGACTGAAGTGATACTTGTGTGAGCTGTGTGTACTCCCCTGATTGTACTCACCTAATTGTGGTTGCAGGGGTCGAGACTCGACTCATGGCTTCGCCTCTTCACTGAGTGGTACTAGGTCCTCTCTCTGCTCCATGAGCTTTATCATACCTCATTTTAAAGCTATGTATGGTTCCTGTTTCCACTACCTCACTTGCTAGGCTATTCCACTTCCTGACGACTCTGAAGAAATACTTCCTAACATTCCTTTGACTCATCTGGGTCTTCAGCTTCCAATTATGACCCCTTGTTTCTGTGTCCCCTCTCCGGAACATCCTGTCTCTGTCCACCTTGTCTATTCCACGCATTATTTTGTATGTCGTTATTATGTCTCCCCTAAACCTCCTGTCCTCCAGTGTCGTCAGGCCGATTTCCCTTAACCTTTCTTCATAGGACATTCCCCTTAGCTCTGGAACTAACCTTGTCGCAAACCTTTGCACTTTCTCTAATTTCTTGATGTGCTTGATAAAGTGTGGGTTCCAAACAGGTGATGCATACTCTAGTATGGGCCTGACGTACATAGTGTACAGTGTCTTGAACGATTCCTTACTAAGGTATCGTAACGCTATTCTCAGGTTTGCCAGGCGTCCATATGTGTGTGTGTGTGTGTGTGTGTGTGTGTGAGAGAGAGAGAGAGAGAGAGAGAGAGAGAGAGAGAGAGAGAGAGAGAGAGAGAGAGAGCTGTGTGTGGGGGGGTGGGTTGTAGGGGTTGTACAGAGTCTGCCACTATTCTTCATTAAGGTCATTCCACTTCCTGACCATCCTGAGACCGAAGAAATACTTTGAGACATCCCTGTGGCTCATCTGCATCTTAAACTTCCACGTTTTCCGCTTTTCCAACAATCTGTCCATTTTGTATGATATAATGTCTCCCCTGGTTCTTCTGTCCTCCATTGCCGTTAGATTAAATTCATTAGCCTCTCGTAGCTCATACCCCCATAGCTCTGGAATAAGCCTCGATGCTCTACGCTGGTGCTGCATACTACACTTAAACGTATGCCGAGTCCTGAAGTTCCTAAATCTGTTTTGGGATTCGCTAACTTAGCGTATACTGCCGAACTCGTACGGTCGATGTGCTCTTCCTGCAATAAGTTCCTTGTAATGTTTAATCCCAGATTTTTTTTTCTTTCATCAATATTTGTATCTTCTCTCCACCCAGACCGTACTTCTTCTCTCCTTTGCCGAATTGCTGGACCTTGCACTTATTCTGATTGAACTCCAGCATTTACTTGTTTGAGATTCCCCTTGATTATATCTCCGTTCTCTTCGTTTCGCGTTCTCAATAGCTTTACATTATCTATGGGCAGAGAAACACGGGATTACTTTAGATCAATCTGGCAGGTTATTTGAATAAATCAGGAAGAATAGTGGCCCTAGTATTGATTCTTGAGAAATCCCATCTTGCTACTTTCACCCCAGCTTGTTATTTTTATCTTGTGGATCAGTATCTGGTGGGAATCATTTAATGTTATCTTGGAGTCCTTGAAGATGCTGTAAACCCATCCCTGTTTCTCTTGCTTTATCTCAGTAACTGTCATGGAACTCCAGTTAGGCAAGATGTCCAGTTTCTAAATCACTGTTTACGCTGACCGTATTGTTCCGGTGGTGGTGGTTCATTCGTCAACGAACAGGATAGAAGTGTCAACTGACACGGGTCTTGGTCGGTTGATGACCCATGACTGGTTAAGCATGGTGGTCGTCCCTGTACACAGCTTTACTTTCCACTTAGAAAACACTGCCTAATACTGTCTAGTAATGCCAAGGATATCCACACGGGTATCTACAAAACATGAATAATTTTTTAAATCGAACTCAATTTACTTTTTTTTTTCTGCACACTTTTCAAACACAGTGAGTTCAGGATAAAGATGAACTCAGATAATTCACTTTTGTAATCAGTATTCATGTGGAGAATAAATTACGTTCCGTGGCTGGAACAATTCACAAATTATCCACACTAAGAGACAGGCAACACTAGACGATGTATCGGCCTGTCCTGGGCTAGTGCATTATTAATGAAGTTTTCTGTGGGTTTGTCTCCCAAAATTGGAATTCTAATTGGTAGCTTGTTTGTCTCCCGATCAGCGGACGGAGGATCGAGTCTCCACTACTTCCAGCGCTCAACAACAAAAGTGACTGTCCTGGATTTTCTCCTAGTATTCGTCCCTTGGAAGGTTCCTAACGAAGACAGTTCACATGGAAAACCTAACACCAACCCCCCCTTCCCCCCAAAAAACGATAAAGATAGCAAGATTTGATTATCTTATCAGTTAAGGACAAGCCTCATGAACAGTGGGCGCCATACTCCTGCAGCCTGGTCTTGGTGAGGTGTCCGGCTTCAGTTCGTTATGAGCAGGGCACTGGGTAGGAAGGTAGAGCGAGCCATGCAAGCTGACATCCTGGCCTCAGTTGGCCACAAGCTGGGCACTGGGTAGGAAGGCAGAGAGAGCTAGGCAAGCCGACAGTGTGCCAGACATTTCCTTCTCCACCAGTCTCTCCAGACCAGTTTGTAACCAGGCTCGGTGTGTTGGCATTTGATAAGAAAGTGTATGCACTAATATACAGGGAGGGTACGTGATACCTCCCTGTTGTAAGTGTTGTAATGATACAAATGTCTAAATGTTGAGTGCAATGGACAATTACACCAAGTGTTATAAAATATAATAAATACCTGCAACAAGTGTTAGTGCAGTGAACTCCTGCAACAAGTGTTACACAGTGCAATGAACACCTGCAACAAGTGTTAGTGTAATGAACACCTGCAACAAATGTTACACAGTGTAATGAACATCTGCAACAAGTATTACAGTGTAATGACCACCTGCAATAAGTGTTACACAGTGTAATGAACACCTGCAACAAGTGTTACACAATGTAATGAACACCTGCAACAAGTGTTACACAATGTAATGAACACCTGCAACAAGTGTTACACAATGTAATGAACACCTGCAACAAGTGTTACACAATGTAATGAACACCTGCAACAAGTGTTACACTGTAATGAACACCTGCAACAAGTGCACTTACTCTCCACTTAACACCCGCACCAAGTCTTGCACAAAACATGCTTGGCTCCATCTTTTTCATGGTTAATTGCAAATCACGACACGTACGCATGTTGAAGCAGGCGATGTGTTCCCAGAAGATGGTTTACAGCGTGCTGAAGCCAGATTGAACCAACGTTCAGCCATACGTGATTAGTGTCTTATGCTGTGTGAGTGAGGGTCACTCGATACCTTGTCTTTGGTATGCCTGTCAGGTGTCCTGATGTCCTCTTTTGACAAGTTTCATAAATCGCTGCCAGATTACGTTAAAACAGTTTTTATTTTTTTTGTAAATGTTTGAAGTACGTCTCTGCTTTTATGTTCTTAATTAGTTTCTTAATGAATTATTGCAAGGAAATCCGATAAGAAATATTTATGATTAACAAAATTCACGACGTTTTGTTAATTAAAAACATGTGAAGCCCTAGAAAAACCGTACAGATTTGGACAGTTTGTCCACATATTGATGAATTTCTATAGTTCATATACTGCTGCATATCTATAGTTTCATATAGTGATGTATATCTATGAGGGGTTGAGTATTAGTGTTGTAGCGCCGAGGAGCTGTGGCTTTGGCTCTGAGTTTTAGGTGTATCTTTTGTACCTGAGTGTATCAGAAGTTGTGTAAATGTTGTGTGTAAATAATACATAATGTGTGTGAATGTAGTAAGTGGAACTTATTGTGTATAAGCGTTGTGTATCAGTGAGAAGTGTTTGTGACTGTGCTCATTGTTTGCTTAGAAATTTCACAGCATGTATTTTTTTCAGAAATAAAAGTAACAGAATATGGTGACTTTGTGGATATTTATAACTTGTAAAGACACTGAAAATATACGAGACCAAAACATGTAAATTGTCAGTGCACGTAAACTTGAACCAATGTCAAAACGGATACAAAATATCCAAGATTACGCGAGGGGCAAGAGAATGTCGATGTGAGAATGGACACTGATGCCAAGGAGTCTCAAACTAAGCGAACTCACAGGAATTACAACCATGGAGTGTTCGGCTGCTGTCGTGGATCCTTTTCTGCCTCAGAGTTCTGTTTTTACGGAGAAAATGGAATTTCAGTGCCGTTCAGAGAAGACTAAAGACTTTTGTCCCTTGAATGATGGCAAAAGTTTTAGAGAAACTATCAGGCCGGCAAGAAGGGTGTCGTCTAGCAGGGACAAGTATATGAACAGCAGGAGACTGGATGTAGAGAAACGCGCCTTGAAGGCAGTGTCTAAGCTCATGATGTTTAAGAACCAGACCTGGCTAAGTATGGAAGATCTCACGGTGGGAGAACAGCAGAACATATCCAGGAATCCCGCGCTAGGCTCTACTTATTCTCACGGGGATCACCTGCCTTTCTGCAATCTGCTAGGACGCTCGAGGGTTCCCAAGTGCCCGTGGTCGGGGACTATACCCGACGAAGCGCCCGCTACCATCTCTCGGGGCTGTTCGCTCGAAGCTCTCAACTTATCCCCGATGCAAGCTACCGAATCCCCAGTGTCAGATTCCCTGGAAAACTTGTCTACAACGTCAAACATCAGCCGAGCCAGGAGTCGCAAGTGTACTCTATCCTTGTCAAGTTCAACTTCGTCAGAAACTTTAACAGCAACTCCCAACGCAACTTTAAGTCCTGGAGTGTCGCTAGAGACCCTAACAGTGTCTACAGTATCGAGTTCTTCAGATCTGCACTCCATCAACACATCTCCGTCATTCACACTGTGTCGCGGGGATTCTGTCGATAGTCTATTCATGCCGCCATCTTCAGCTTCTCTTTCTGCAGAGGAGAGTTTGGAAATCCTAGACTCGCCTGCTATCTCAAATCAGAGTCCTTTCAGGCGTCAGTTGTTCACCTCACTAATAACCCGACAGTCAGCTCTTGTAGCTCGGGTTAGTCAACAGTCGTGTCAGCTCTTAAAGACAATGAAAGTCATATCCTCCTTGAAGTCTTCGGATCCCGAGGCTGAACATCAAGCTTCTTCGTCGCCCGGCCGCGGCAACGTAGAATCAGTTCCTTGTGTGCGACTCACACCATCTTCAAGTACCGGAACAATTGAGGAAACCTATGAAGAGTACACGAAGCCTCTGGTGAAGCCTGTGCATGAGGACATGAAAGGTGTGGCCCCAGGGAATGAAGAGACTATCCCGTTTGCGAGACTGAGCCAGCGGCTCATGTCTGTTTGTGACTCCGGGGTTGGTTGGGACACCGACGATGAACTGGGGTCAATCTCCAGGGGGTCCTCCTTCACCTTCGCTGAAGACAGCGATGGTGTCATCGACGAAGACCAAGGTAAGTTGTTTTTTTCCCGTCTCAGAAACTTATGCAACTTCCTCATTGTTACACTGTTTTTTAGGGGTTAGGGTCAGTTATGCATTCACTTGTGTATTGCAGACAGTTGTCAGAAAATATCTTAACTATTCTGTTGACTCGGCTTTAAACATTGCAAGATAAATTTATACAACTTCATTACTCCTCATATAAAATTTCCTCTTTGAGGAATCTCTACCACTTAATGAAACATCCAGCATGCAGAACAACAACCCTCTTCACACACTCGTGTGACCAACCTGCACTGCCTCACTCTGTGTTAAAATGTGACGAGACTTCAACCTATAGTGATTATAAAGGGTAATGATCACTTGCCAGTGATGAAAGGAAACCCATGAGTAGGCTATTTTCTAGTTTTATTTTGTTTGATATTATACATCTCCGTGATGCTAAAATATCTTTGAAATATTAACAACCTTATTTTTCACAGCTCCTAAGCTTGTCAAGTATCGTTCACATGAAAGTAAATATTAAAATGATTGTAATAATTCTTCTGATAACACTGACAAAAAATGTACGTGCAAAATCAGACGTATGTGAGTGAATGTCCGTAAGCAGTGTTCAGAAGGAAGGTGACTCCCTTTTTGAACACTGTGCACTGTGTACGGACATGTACACTGTACAAGTCCAGGACGAATATAATTATCTGAAGTTTTCTGTCCAGTGTAAACAGTGGACTCTGTATTATTTATATACATTTGATAAGTGTTGAGTCTCTTGCAAAGGTAATCGTTATACAAGAAAGATAAAATTATATCAGATACGGCCGTACCCAGCGATTACGTGTTATCCTTCCATGCCTCTTTGTATTGCTACTTGTTACCCTCCTTCATATTCATTATTATTATTATTATTATTATTATTATTATTATTATTATTATTATTACATATGTATTAAGGATAAATGTATGAAGCGTTAAGTAACTTTATTACGGAAACGTTTCGCCAAGCAGGTTTTTCTTATAAATCCAAGTGGGCGAAACGTTTCCATAATAAAGTTACCTATCGCTGCATACATGTATTTTTATACGTATGCCGGTACTATGTATCTTGTTTGCAACACCGCGTCCAGGACAAATAAGACACATGTGCAGCACTTGGATATCTTTATTGCAGTACAGATACCCAAGTGTTGTATATGTGTCTTAATTCATCCACTTGTATCGGTATGGCATACCATCATTAATGTGATACTGTGTTCATGGAGGCACGCTGAACCCACGAGGGTCATGCAGCGTCTGGGGAGAGGGGGAAAGACTGGAGAGTAAATAGATTTGGACTAGGGAAGGTGAGGGATCGCTTTTATTCAGCGAGTTCAGAGTTCTTCACCAGCATCAAGGTACTCACTTAAAGTTCCCTAGTTGAAGGCACCAGTTTGGAGTGTCCTTGTTGAAGGCACCAGCTTGGAGTGTCCTTGTTGAAGTCACCAGCTTGGAGTGTCCTTGTTGAAGGCACCAGCATGGAGTTCCCTCGTTGAAGGCACCAGCATGGAGTTCCCTCGTTGAAGGCACCAGCATGGAGTTCCCTCGTTGAAGGCACCAGCATGGAGTTCCCTCGTTGAAGGCACAAGCTTGGAGTGTCCTTGTTGAAGGCACCAGCTTGGAGTGTCCTTGTTGAAGGCACCAGCTTGGAGTGTCCTTGTTGAAGGCACCAGCATGGAGTTCCCTCGTTGAAGGCACAAGCTTGGAGTGTCCTTGTTGAAGGCACCAGCATGGAGTTCCCTCGTTGAAGGCACAAGCTTGGAGTGTCCTTGTTGAAGGCACCAGCATGGAGTTCCCTCGTTGAAGGCACAAGCTTGGAGTGTCCTTGTTGAAGGCACCAGCATGGAGGGCTCTTGTTCATCACCATGCCTGCAGTTGGTGGTACGTGCATTTAATCACTCTAAAGTTAGGTTAATTTAGTTCAGCATACTTGATAGATAAAATTCTTCAAATGTCTATTAACTCAATTCGTATTTATTTAATTCTGTTGATATAAGAGGCAGGAACTCACATGTAGATGAAACAGGAAAATTTTGTGATTCAGTAAACATTCTTTGCTTGTTCCTTTCTGCATGTGGGTGCTTAACTCTCCTTGACAAGTGTTCGTTAATTACACTTCTTTTGGAATATGTGTGTATATACTGGGATACATTTGTTTAAAAAACGAAGAACAATTTTCTTTAATTCTCACAATAGCCCAAAAGCGTCCCTGAGATCATGTATCAGAAATGTATGTACTTTCAAGGTTGACTCTCTCTTATATTTCTGTGTGAAACGCTTGGTCAGTAACTCCTAAGGGATTAATATCAAGGCCGCTGGTCTTGATTTGTGCTTGCTGGAGTCAAGGCTCGGTTCTGCTCTTCTCTCGTCCTAGAAAAGGCCGGTTCTGTTATTTCCTGGACTCCTGGAACCCCTCAGAGAGTGTGTGTGTGTGTGTGTGTGTGTGTGTGTGTGTGTGTGTGTGTGTGTGTGTGTGTTGTGTGTGTGTATGTGTGTGTGTGTGTGTGTATGTGTGTGTATGTGTGTGTATGTGTGTGTGTGTGTGTGTATGTGTGTGTATGTGTGTGTATGTGTGTGTGTGTGTGTGTATGTGTGTGTATGTGTGTGTATGTGTGTGTGTGTATGTGTGTGTGTTCACCATCATATTAGCCATGATGCTCTATGTTTTAAACAACATAGGCTCATGACTGATGAAAAATTATAGAAAGTATATTGGGGCAAAATTAGTAGCAACAACGATGATAATTTCAACAAAATAAATTTGAATAATGATAATTGATAGCAGTGATAATTGTGAAGATGATAATGATAAGGTAGTTAGCTGGTGTAAATAATTGTCCCGTGATGGAACTACTACAATGTACAAGGTGTTCCCTTGATCTACCAGCTGAGTCCTGGCTTCATCCTTGAAGAAGGAGAAGTAGAAAAATAAAAACTAATAAAAATAATGGATATTAATTTCAGAGGATAAATATAGAAAACGAAGGAGCGTAACTTATGTCCCTCGTGGTCCTTAGGTTCTCCCTTCATGGCTACTTCTCCAAACAACCATCACTAAGTACCTATTAACCGCTAGTTGAACAGAGGCTGTAGATGCGAAAGACTTGCTAATAAGTCTCGCCTCGCCTGGGGATTGAATTCGAGTCATTTTGGTTGTGATGCAAAATATTCTGCCTACTGAGCAAGCTAGCCAGGCGCTATGCCCGAGAGGTCGCAGTTACACAGCAAAACAAGAAGAGAAGGGAACTCGGATTAGCATACCAGCTTTCCCTTCCTCCCACCAGTGAGGAAGGGGAGGGGGGGGAGGCGGCTACTAACATATCCCACCCGCTACCTGCATGAAGTTCAATATTGACTCAATACTGGGCCACGCACATTTATCTATGTGATTACTTACATTTTTATTGTTTTGTCCCTGGGAGACATCATTGTTACACAAATAACCCGCACATAGGAGAGAGGAGCTTACGACGACGTTTCGGTCTGACTTGGACCATTTACAAAGTCACACTGATTATTTGTGTATTATTCCAGTCATGGTATTGTGCCTTTTTGTTATTTATTTTTAGACATCATTGTTGCTTGTGCTCGCGACTCTCCACTTGTGCCGTGCACATGCTCTCTCAGGTCAGCACCCACGCAGAGAGTCGACGGCAGGATACGTACAAGTATCCTGAAGTCGTTGAGATGAGATGTGGAGTTATTCTAACTGTGTTGGTCCACTGATGCTGAGGCTCCTCCCTACACATTGCCTTTGTGGGGCACATTTGTTGTTTGTCACGGAAATATGTATCTTGGAAGATAGTTTCTCTCACGGGAAAATGCTCACTGACCCCTTCGAGTTCAGAACTTTTCCATGAATATATAATGAAGAACACGAGTGAGGCTATATTAAGCACAGCAGCATGGCAGGTAATATTCAACTATCACAAGCCATAAAAATGGGACAAGAAGCCACACTAAAGTATTACACGGTTGGCTTAGTCATGGCTTTAGTATGCTGGGTGTTTCTCATCTCAACGAGTCAGTAACGAATTGTGTAAATCCCTGTGTGCACCCACCGACTGATGTTTGCTGGAGTCGAGTCTTAGCTCCCTGCCTCGTAAGCTGGTTTGTGGTCCCTTGCACTCCATGCCTGGTCCTGAAACTTTGTATGGAGTTTGCCTCAGCCACAACCAGTTTACTCTTACTATCTCACCTCCTGGTCCCGCGTTTTAAGTGAGCGTCCGCATCGTTGACCGATACATAGGACTGGATGGAGATTTGACATCATGCGAGGTGTTATTCCCGTGCGTGTGGGTCAGTAAGCTCAACAGGTGGTTAAGGCTCGATCTTTCGTCCACTAAGCGCGAGACATACGTTCTACCTAGTTTTACTCGCCTATTCAGATAGATGCATGATGGTCGTAGTGTCAACTTTGGTGTCGCATCAGCGCGGTTACGGACGCCTTTGACACACGATTGCAAATGCACACAAGAATCCTCGCTAACACAGTACGAGTTATTCCTTACAGGATATAAATCACAATACCGTTCTGAAACAGTTGACAAATATGTTAAGTATTGATGTTGGTAATTTTACCAACATCAATACAATTGACAAATAACCTACATTTTGGGGAGGAAATTATCAACTCCCCATTGATAGCAGTCCAAGGTGACCAAATTTTCTCCATTGTGGGTTATTTGTGATATACTCCTTAGGATATCTATAGGATGTTTATTTATTTTCTCAATTAGCTTTTCTCATCATAATTACATTGACTTGAGTATTGGACTAACATGCTGTATGCCATACACTGATTTAGCGTTTTTTTTTAATATAATTTGCAATATTTCCTGGCGTACTTGAATTAAAGGCAGGATATATACACAGCTTCAAAAAACAGGTCCCCTGAAGGGAGGTTCCTTGACGCTGGTTAGGGGCTCTTGATTTAGGGAATTGGATCTGTGCTCCAGTTCCCAGAATTGAGCCTGAATA